ATTTCAGAAAATATTTTCTCAGTCACGTCATCATAAATCTGATGAACCTTACAACTTGTTTGCTGAATGGGCATCAGAAATCTCTATCAATTTATCTGCTTAATTTTCATATATTCAATCACATTAAAAACCCTTCCTACCTCATGTAATTCATAATATGTAAAGTTTCAAGTTTCTGAAAACCTGAAAATTCTATTTCCTAGAATAGGATCAAAATTTAAGAATTGACCAAAAGATGTATAATGCTTCTTTAGAATTTTTTAAAACTTCTTGAATGAGACAAAGCTCATTTTGGAGATACACAAACCAAATGAAAACTTGAGATCTCCAGGTATGTCTTTATCTTAAACATAAGAATATAATAATATTTGGGAAAAACAAATTTGAATGAAAGCAGAACCCCTATTGGAGGATGAACCTACAACTACACAGTTTGTTGACTGGACAACAAAGAGTCACCTATGTCCAAGAGGAATTTATTTATTTATTTATTTATTTATTTATTTATTTATTTATTTATTTTTTACCTGCAAATAACCAAGAAAAACTATTAGATGGAAAAACTGACAGTGATTTTATCAAGCTACTGCACGGATGCATTTGACAAACACCTCTTGGTGTTTTTCAAATGTATTCAGTTTGTTGGGTCTCTTTGATTGGAAATATGCTAAGCAAAATCATATTGTTTGAAAGCCTTCCTATAGGCCCTGAAAATGCTGGCTGAGCTTTATTTAATTTTAGCTTATCAGAATACTGTTAGGTGAGAGCTATTTGGAACCCAAACATTTCGCTATTCTGCCTAGAAATAATTTTATTAACCTAAAACACTAGAGTGGAGGACAGAAGTGTAAGAGTAATTCATATTTATTGGTATCACAATATATCACATAGTACTAATACCATATTGATCACATCAGAAGCAGAACCACCTATTCAAAACACTTTATCCTGATAAAAGAAGAGTTGGGATGAGGGAAATGAGGTATAGTTAAACATTTGAGCCCACAGTGTAAGAGACTTTTAACTGATTGCAGTTAGAAGGTACACACTTTCTTTTTTTTTTTAATAAATTAATTTTTATTGGTGTTCAATTTACCAACATACAGAATAACACCCAGTGCTCATCCCGTCAAGTGTCCCCCTCCGTGCCCTTCACCCATTCACCCCCATCCCCCGCCCTCCTCCCCTTCCACCACCCCTAGTTCGTTTCCCAGAGTTAGAAGTCTTTATGTTCTGTGTCCCTTTCTGATATCTCCCACACATTTCTTCTCCCTTCCCTTATATTCCCCTTCACTATTATTCATATTCCCCAAATGAGTGAGAACATACACTGTTTGTCCTTCTCCGATTGACTTACTTCACTCAGCATAATACCCTCCAGTTCCATCCACGTTGAAGCAAATGGTGGGTATTTGTCGTTTCTAATGGCTGAGTAATATTCCATTGTATACATAAACCACATCTTCTTTATCCATTCATCTTTCGATGGGCACCGAGGCTCCTTCCACAGTTTGGCTATTGTGGACATGGCTGCTAGAAACATCGGGGTGCAGGTGCCCCGGCGTTTCATTGCATCTGAATCTTCGGGGTAAATCCCTAACAGTGCAATTGCTGGGTCGTAGGGCAGGTCTATTTTTAATTCTTTGAGGAACCTCCACACAGTTTTCCAGAGTGGCTGCACCAGTTCACATTCCCACCAACAGTGTAAGAGTGTTCCCTTTTCTCCGCATCCTCTCCAACATTTGTTGTTTCCTGCCTTATTAATTTTCCCCATTCTCACTGGTGTGAGGTGGTATCTCATTGTGGTTTTGATTTGTATTTCCCTGATGGCAAGTGATGCAGAGCATTTTCTCATGTGCATGTTGGCCATGTCTATGTCTTCCTCTGTGAGATTTCTCTTCATGTCTTTTGCCCATTTCATGATTGGATTGTTTGTTTCTTTGGTGTTGAGTTTAATAAGTTCTTTATAGATTTTGGAAACTAGCCCTTTATCTGATATGTTATTTGCAAATATCTTCTCCCATTCTGTAGGTTGTCTTTGAGTTTTGTTGACTGTATCCTTTGCTGTGCAAAAGCTTCTTATCTTGATGAAGTCCCAATGGTTCATTTTTGCTTTTGTTTCTTTTGTTTTCGTGGATGTATCTTGCAAGAAGTTACTGTGGCCAAGTTCAAAAAGGGTGTTGCCTGTGTTCTCCTCTAGGATTTTGATGGAGTCTTGTCTCACATTTAAATCTTTCATCCATTTTGAGTTTATCTTTGTGTATGGTGCAAGAGAGTGGTCTAGTTTCATTCTTCTGCATGTGGATGACCAATTTTCCCAGCACCATTTATTGAAGAGACTGTCTTTCTTCCAGTGGATCATCTTTCCTCCTTTGTCGAATATTAGTTGACCATAAAGTTCAGGGTCCATTTCTGGGTTCTCTATTCTGTTCCATTGGTCTATGTGTCTGTTTTTGTGCCAGAGGTACACACTTTCTAATTGTCCATTTGAAAGTTGTTTGGGAGAGTAGATCTTAAACGTTCTCACCACAAGGAAAAAAAGTTAGGTAGCTATGTGTGGTGATGGATTATAGTGATCATTTTCCAATATATACAGAACACATGTTATATACCTGGAACTAATACAGCATATTTCAAAAAATATATATTAATTTAAAAGAGATAAATATTTTGTTGCTCTATCACCTCTTTCTCATCCTGAAATGGCAAACACATTTCTTGGATTTGAAAGATCTTTATTAATTCAGTCAGCAACTGCTATACTTTTTGGTCTCAGTAATCTTTGCATTTTCAAATATCTTCAGGACCCTGAAAAACTTTTGTTTATATTATGTATCAACATTTACAGTGTTAAACGTGCAAGAGCCTTTTTAAAAATGCATGCATGCATAAATACACATTTCATTAGTTATCAGCAATGACATGATAGATCATGTAATTTTTGGAATACTCTGTTGAACATCTCTAAGAAGAACACAGGCAAAAAAAAAAAATGTTTTAATACTAAAAGTTTTACCCCTAGAAAGGGACTCAGGGACCCCATTGGGCTCCTGGACCATACTTTAAAACTGCATTAATTCATTAATGTAATAACAAATGTCTACTTTATGGGCTGGGTGCTGAAAGGGATACTATAGATGTATGATTAAAGGACTTGACGTTTTGATACTTTTATATCTTAAAGAGAATGCAGTCTATACACTTCAAAATAAATTTCTCTAAGGCAAAGGTTATGTTTTAGTCATAGTATAGCTTTAAGATTCTGTAGACATACATTGTAAATACTTAATAAATATTTGCATAGTAAATGGGCAGTCCAAGGCTTATCTGCACTAAATGGCTGCCCTTTATCTGTGAACCTGTGATAGCATACTATATCTGAAAATGCTCAAAGGTACACCATTTTAAACATGGATAGATGACCCTCTCTCATTCGCAAAATCAAATAGAGTGAGAAAACCATGACAGGAGAAACCAAATCAAATGTCAGGACCAAGAAGACCTAAAAGTAAGTTGTTACTCAGTTCTGTAGCATCATTCTCTGAAGAATTTGAATGCTAACAATTCATAGTTTATGAAACAGATAAAGCTCCTGAACTCAGCCAGATCTAGGTCCACTTGCAGCTAGGTCAGTGTCCAAGCTGTGGAACCGTGGAAAAAAGTTTTCTCCCAGCTGATTCCTTCTCTTAAAAAAAAAAAAAAAAAAGGCAGGGGATGGTGGGAGGAGAGAGGCTATTATTAGGAAAGTCAGATTAGATGGATGTGAATAAAGTTTAGCACCTTTAAAAGATGATGCAAATATTATAAGCTTTTTAAATTCTCATAGTAATGTCAAATTATTTGCATTGACTGAGAAAATAGAAAATAACTCCAAGATACAGGAATGGGATGAGATGGGTCCCCAAATCCTTGATGAATTTAAGGGGGATGAGATTATTGACCTATAATTGGAAGGGCCTCTGATGACAATGACTAAAGGTAGAAGGTGATGTAGTTCTGAAACTTGTTCCTCAGAGGAAGCCCCCACCTCCACCCCTGCCCTGAACCTCCCAAGGAGGACAGAGGTGAAATGATTTTGAAAAGCAATGTGGAGGCCAGAGGCTATTTTATGCACTCTGGCTCCATGATCCATGGCTAAGGCTATTTTATGCACTCTGGCTCATGATCCATAATAGAATGAGAAGCCTGCTTTTCAGTGTCATGATTTCTTGGTAATTCTATTTGTTATTGAAATTTGGGGGGTAATTACATATTTATAACCGCTTCAGGAACTAGAAAAAAGTGAACAATATGGCCAGAATCTTACCCCTTAAATGAAAGATAAAAACACAGGCAGTATATTTGAATTAGAAATATTCCCATTTTTTTTTAGTCATGAAAACTTTTTCTTTCTAGGACATATTACACATTCAAATGCCAAAACATTTGTTTTCTAACAGCTTTATTGAGATATAATTCACATCAAGATATGTTAATTTGAAAAAAAGATATGTTAATTTGATGAAAAAATAAGGCTACCATAGAGGACTTCAATTTTAAAAAGAGTCATTTCCATTTATGCCTATATAATAATTGGTTTTAAGGATGCTTTTGTATTTTTTCCTTCCATTTTCAAATAAGGTATATCTCTGAAAAAGACCTCTAATTGTTATCCCAAACAGTCAACTTAAAACTAACTTTGGCTTTGATGAAGATATAGTGCTAAAATTAGGAGAAAGGGCACTGATAAATAATTTTAGACCAATGTAAAATATAAACCAAACTGTCTAATCAGCTTTTAAATTTACAGTTATTGCAGAAAAAATGAGTTATTGAATATAACTATTTTCATCCTGGTTAAAGATTTTAGGCATGCATACGAGTACAATTCCTTTCAAGAGCTGAACACTTGGATACTTATCAAAACTCAGAATTGCTTGTGAATTGATTTTGTCTCCTTAAATTCAGTTCTATTGATACCGAATAGTAATCTTTCACCAATTCAACAGCTTAATCTGCAGACTGGAGAAAGCTGCCAAATATGATGACATCAAAGGGGTAGTGAAGCAGGCATCAGAGGGCCCCCTCAAGGGCATCCTGGGCTACACTGAGGACCAGGTTGTCTCCTGTGACTTCAACAGTGACACCCACTCTTCCACCTTCGACGCTGGGGCTGGCATTGCCCTCAATGACCACTTTGTCAAGCTCATTTCCTGGTATGACGATGAATTCGGCTACAGCAACCAGGTGGTGGACCTCACGGTCCACATGGCCTTCAAGGAGTAAGAGCCTCCTGGACCACCAGCCCCAGCAAGAACAAGAGGAAGAGAGAGGCCCTCAGCTGCTGGGGAGTCCCTGCCCCAACTTAATCCCCCAACACACTGAGAATCTCCTGACCTCCAATTTACATCCTAGACCCTGAGGAAGGGGAGGGGCTTGGGGAGCCCTACCTTGTCATGTACCATCAATACTGTACCCAGCCAAAAAAAAAAGGGGGGGGGGGAGTCTGAATTCACTGTGTAGGATTGAAACTTACAAGAACTCTTGTTATGCTGGGAAGGGTATAGTACTTTAATGAAAGAATAGCATCCTATTGCACCAAAATATCTAAAAGCAGGATAAATAAGGAAGTATTAAGCAAAGAAACTGTGCCCATATATGCTATAAATATTTGTATCTGACTGACTTATTCATTCTTGTTTGTTCTGATGGTGGTATCACATTGATTCATTGTTTTGTTGGTGATACAAAAAGGCAGCAGGCATACTTAAGGCAGAAACATTTGTTGGACTTGGGTCATTAGGCTGTACTAACTTACCAAGTCTAAGTAAGATCTTAGCCACTTTCGTCATATTTTTGTCAGATAAAAATTAACCATAGCTTAGCTAGAACACCGTGATAAATATAAACATCTGACCCATAAATTTGAAAACTAGATGAATTAGAAAAATGTGTTTAAAATTACAATTCCATAAAACCAAAACAAAGAGAAATAGAAAATCTTAGTTGTCCTATACCATTTTTTAAAAAAAAAAATAGGATCCATAATTTAAAACTTTTCCATAATGAAAATCTTTGGGTTCCAAGGATATAAGCAGTTATTCTTTCCAAATAATTAAACAATAAAAATAAACTACATAAATCATCCTGAGAATAGAAAAGGGATACACTCCCAAATTACTTTGTGAAGTTAGCATAACTGATACTAGCAAAAATTACATGGCACTTTTTCTTATGAACATAGATATAAAAACTTTAAAATATTAGGAAAACCACTGAATCTAATGATTTATAAAAATGATCACCAACTTGGGTTAAATCCAGAAACACAAATTGGGTTTAATATTTGAAAAATCATCACTATAATTCATTGCTGAATAAAGAAACATCATAACAGGTGTCTAATAAAATCTAATATTTATGACTGAAACTTAGAAAATCAGTTAAGGAATGGAAGAGAACTTCTCTAATATGATAAAAATCCTATAGCTACCCTCAAATTTAAATAATGAAATATGGAAAGTTTGCCCCTTAAGTTGTGAACAAAACAGAGATTGCCAATCACTTCAGTTCAGCATTGCTAGTGCATTTGAGCAAGAAAATAAAAGATAACAATTGGAGAGAAAAAGACTTAAAACCCATAATTGTTTATGCAGAAAATTCAAAATATTGTATATACCATTAGAATTAATAAGTGAATTTAGTAAAACCCTTAGACACAAGGCCAGTATTACCATACAAAGCAACAAAAAATTAAAAATAGAAAAACATATTTATAATAGCATCAAAAATATTAAGTACCTAGGAATAAATCAGCAAGACTTTAAAACTTTAGAGAAATAAGACCTTAATATATTAAAAGACTCAATATATTGAAGATAATAATTTCTTACAATTTGTCATTAAATGTAATCTCAAGATTCCAGAGGCTTTTTTTTAATGGACAATCCATTTTAAGTGAATATAAAAATTAAAAGGTCCTCAAGGAGTAAGGACAGTCTTGAATACAGTTGGAAGACTTACACTATTAAATCTCAAGCCTTACTATAGGGTTATCACAAAAGAGTGTAAAATTGGCTCAAGGATAAACAAGTGGACTAGTAGAACATAAAGTCCAGAAATAGACTCACACATATATGGTAAACCAATTTTCAGGCAGGGTGACACTACAGTAGAATTTTTTTTAATGTTTCTGGGCCGATATGGTATATGTTTAGTAGAAAATATTGAATTCTAGCTCATTCTATGTAGAAAAGTCAGTTCCAGATGAAGTATAGGCCTAAATACAAAAGTTAGAAATTCGACTTCATTAGTCATCAAGGAAACGCCAATTAAAACCATTAAGGCGGGATCCCTGGGTGGCGCAGCGGTTTGGCGCCTGCCTTTGGCCCAGGGCGCGATCCTGGAGACACGGGATCGAATCCCACGTCAGGCCCCGGTGCATGGAGCCTGCTTCTCTCTCTGCCTGTGTCTCTGCGCCTCTCTCTCTCTGTGTGTGTGTGTGTGACTATCATAAATGAATAAAAAAAATAAAAAAAAAAACATTAAGGCAATAGTAAATGCCAGAGAAAAAGTCAGCCTTCCTATGTACTACTAGAGGAGGGAGGGGGATATAAATTCCCTACCACCTCTTAGGGAAAAATGGTAATATTGACTACACAGACCCTATTTGTCATTTTGTTTTGTAGTAAACTTTTTAAATAGTCACCAAGTAAGTTGCCATTTATTAAGTTAATTCCTAGATGTTTTATGATTTTATTGCACTCTAAATGAGATTTTCTTTTCCTTCTGATTGCATTTTCTAATTGGTTATTACTGCACTTTAGGTGAGCTTTATTTTCTCTGTTGGTCATGTGTGATTTTCAATTATATATTTAGGTAGAAACTCTTAGAATCTCAATTAGTATTAGTTTTATCTCTCTTTATCCCACACTTATTTCTATCATTGCTTTGGCAAGGATCTCCTCTAACACGTATGAATAGTAGTGATAACAACCAAAATATCTTGTGCTTGACAATGATAAGATTTCTAATATTTTATTAAAAATCATGCATTTTGTTTTTGGCAACTAGTCTTTCAGGTTAGGGAAGTTTTCTTCTATTCCTAATTTTCTAAAATTTTATTAAGAATGAGTAATGAACTTTATAGAATCCTTTTTTGCATGCCTTTAGTAATTAACATTTTTTAGTATACATAATTTTATATGTTGATTTACATATTTGCATGCCTTAATGTTGAAAATGTTTTTTCACTCTTATGTTATTCTTTATATATATTTCTGTATTCTACTTGGAAGTTATTCGACTGTGTGTGGGGGTGTGTTTTGTATCTGTGTTTATTTACCCTTCCCATGCTTCTGAATTTTTAAGAAAATATTTTATTTTATTTATTCATGAAAGACACAGAGAGGTAGAGGGGCAGAAGCAGGATCTCTATGGGGAGCCTGATGTGGGACTGGATCCCAGGACACTGGGATCATGCCCTGAGCAGAAGGCAGATGCTCAACCACTGAGCCACCGAGGCATCCCTGAATTGTTTATTTTAGGATCAAGATAATGCTAGGTTTTAAAATGAGTTGGGAGGTTTCTCCTCTTTTTCTCTTCTCCATATCACAACTATCTTTTTCTCATTGGTTTTAAAGATCTTACCCACAAAGTTATTTGGACTCATTCTTAACTGAATCTTCCTTTGGGGCACCTGGCTAGCTTAGTCATTGGAGCATGGGAGTCAATCTCAGGGTTGAAAATTGGAACTTTACATTGGGTGTAGAGAGTACTTAAAATCTTTTTTTAAAAAAATTAAGAATATCAAAATGAATAAATTTTATAAAAAAGTACATCTTGTCTGCCTTTGACTGATTTTTAAAAGATTATTTGTAAGCTTATGAACTATTCTTGGGTCAATTATGTACTATGGGAGGCAGTGACATTTTTCCTAGAATTTCAAATTGATATATGCATATTTTACATTAATTTGTCTTTTATATATAGAGAGAGATTCCTATCTATATTACCTATATACTATTAATATATTTTTTCTTTTTTTTAAAAATAGATTTACCAAAGTTTATCTTCTTTTAAACAGTTTTGTTGTCTTTTCGATGATCTGGACTTTTGACTTAATCTGAGGGTTTTTTGTTTTTAATTATACAACACACTCATGTTCTTTGCGCTTTCTAAAATGTGTGGTCTTTGTACACTTCCCCTTGGAACAGTTTCAATAAACTAGTTACCAGTGAGTGTTCTTCTATTTTCTAAATTTACCTTAAAATAGACTATGTTTAGGGCACCTGGGTGGCTCAGTGGTTAATCATCTGCCTTTGACTTAGATTGTGATCCTGGGGTCCTGAGATCAAGTCCCACATCGAGCTCCCCATGGGGAGCCTGCTTCTCCCTCTGCCTATGTCTCTGCCTCTCTCTCTGTGTCTCTCAATGAGTCTGATGTCTCTCATGAATAAGTAAAATCTTTTTTTATTTAAATAGACTCTATGTTTAAAAATCTGTAAAAATGTAATTATGGCTTGAGTCCTTCTTCTTCAGTTAATGAAAGCATGAAGTCTCTGGCCAGACCTAGTTCAATGATACTAGGTCAAATTTTTATTACTGGTAGATCTCTGCTATTTGCTGCTTCTCTCTACCCTTCAATAATTAAACAGACTTATCCAAATCCAATATTCTGTTGTTCACACAGGTTGCCCCATCTTGGTTAGAATTACAATTACTTTGCTTTATGTATTGTTTGACATTTTAAATATCAGAGACCTCAGGGCACCTGGGTGGTTCAGTCAGCTAAGCATTTGCCTTTGGCTTGGTCATGATCTTGGGGTCCTGGGATTGGAGCAGGTATTGGGCTTCCTGCTCAGCAGGGAGTCTGCTTCTCCCTCTTCCTCTGCCTCTCTGCCCTCCTGCTCATGCTTACTCGTGAGCTCTATTTCAGATCTTTAAAAAAAATATCAGAGGCCTCATAAGATTCAGGACTACGAGTAATTTCTGTATGTCTGTAACAATAAAGCAAACATTTCAAGTGCTATTTGCTTGTCTTCTTGACCCAGTTCATCAAATTTGAATGGCTTTGTATAAATGAACTCTACAATATAAAATATTTTACTTAAATAATGCTCTCAACATGTTTGCTCATTCAACTCTCACTAGTAGTGAGGAAAATGAAAGTTGAAATACTTTTTGAAAAACAATTTTTTTGAAAAGATTCACTCAGACATAAAGTTAAAGCATGCTATACATCAGCGCTCCTCTCCCCCCAATTCTCCCCACCACTGTGGCTTAAA